CCCTTGCAATTTGGGATTTTATTTTTGGTTGGTAGACCTCGGTGAGCTGGTCATTTCAAAAGTAACTCACCAGCCAAAAAAGTCTGGGCACCCCTGGTCTAGACACATTATTTGTTCATTTATCTGCAATATTGGCTGAGAGAGGGAAAAGTGTGAAAATTCAGTTTTTGGTAATGGTGACACTAATTTGCATAAAAAATACATGTGGGACATCCAGACAACATTTTAACATAGCTCATCATTGTCTACATACTTTTTCCACTTAGGAAACACTGATTATAAGAATATTTCTGTGTCGGTGCAAAATACACCCTTCTTCTACAAGACTAAAATGCTATTTTCTTGTAATGGCGGCACAAATTAGCATAATAGCATGCCACAGACACATGTGATTACATTAAGAATAGTTTTATTGTGTTCCTTGACCCTCAAAACATGGATCTGGATACCTTATTTGTTCAGTTATCTGCAATAATGGCTGACATATAGTGAAAGGTGTAAAAAGAGTGAAACTTGATTTTTAGGGTAAATAAACACTAGTTTGGGAAAAAAAAGTATACATTTGTCAATTTTTTAACACACGGTAGCTAATCGTTTTCTACACAATTTTTCCAATCTAGAAAAGCTGATTAGAAGTATATTTCAGGGGGGTGCATGTCTCTTCTGTATTTGCGGGTCCCATTGCAATTGTTATTGTTATTATTATCATCATGCGTCGCTTTCCACCTTCTTCTCCAGTAGGACTCAGATGAGGGTGTTGCCCTTGTCTTTTCCTTATACATGTGATGTTTTGGTGTTGTTTTGTTTCTTTCCGTTAACCGCCAAGTGGGAAATAAGTATATATTTTTTGTGTTTCTCTTAGTATCCTAAGATACTGTTATGTTTGGCTGTGAAAAAAAAAAATTCTTCTCCCTGCTCCTTTTCGCTCAATGGTGTTTTGGTAGAGTCATGTTTTGTGGCAATTATTGTACATTTGGTTTTGTGTACCATGAGCGGGACAAATAAAAATGAAATGAAATAATGTGCAGTCTGTCTCCTTTAGGGGACATGCTATGACTCTTTATAGCGCTTGTGCCTATTCATTTTGGTATCCGTAGAGCCTACCATCCCAAAAACTGTAGAATAAGACTTTTTAAGGGTTGCCTTGGTTACAAAACATGGGATTCAACATGTTATTGAGATTTGGTTCCCCTTCCTTTGTTTATACATGCTTTGTAAAATATACCCTCACTACTTGAGAATGACCTTTCACTACTTATAAACTACCTATGCAAAGGTGCGCCATATTTTCTTACAAGCCAATCCGAGCAGACTGGGCTATTTTGGGAGGGGTCTTAAAGAGACAGGCACTGAAACAGAGTGTTTTAGACAGGAGAAGGAATATAGATATAATCAGAGACGGTATAAGAAAAATAATTAGTTTTTTTCAACAATTTCTGGGTCAACATGTTCTAGTAGAAAACCCAAACCACGAGGATGAACCTGAAACTTTTGTATTTGTCTCCTTTAAATCAGAGTTGCGTTATCCTTCAAGTATATTACGTATAATCAGAAAAAATGTACTTGGTGATGCAGTGCAGTGAAAAAAGGAATTACACATAATTAAGAGCAATATAAATGCTTTGTTATGATGCATATAGGTTACTGTTACTGGCATGCTAAGAGAACAACTATATTGAAAAAGACTGCTGTAAAGATGGTATCATAACAGATACCACAGACTGATTGACTCATTAGATAGTCAGAGGATTTCAGCTGCTGCATGATCTATTACTCAGTGATAATTGTGCATTCAAACAGTGAGAGGAGGAATGACTCCCCAAGAGGATGATGAAGTTACATAAGCAGACCGTCAGACACACCACAACATGAGAGGTATCGTCACATAGGAAAGACATGTGCTGCTCACAGAGATTGGATTTGGTTGATGATTAACAGCTGTATTGACTCACATGGGTGCATAAACAAACACACACACACACACACACACACACACACACACACACACACACACACACACACACACACACACACACACACACACACACACACCACCAACCCTTCAGAGCACACACAGTCCATGTAATTCTTCACACATGAGTAGAAGTACACACATTCACACAGCAGTGTGGTACACACCCATGATATAGCCTGTCTTCCTCAGACTCAGCAGAAGCCCAGTCTTGGATAATGCTTCACACTTTGATAAAACACAGAGGCATCCTCAGGACACACAGGACTCGTCTGTTGCTATGGTTTCCACATCCTGGTAGTGGGACAGCGTTAGCGATACGTTGGTCTCAGATGTTGTCCTGCAGGTGGACGGGCTCCTACAGGAACTGGGAGACAAGAAGAACAGATAAACATCATGACCTCCATGACATAAATCAGAATGAGAGATCAGAAAAGGTTCATTTGTCTTGGAGAGGGGGGAAATACAGTGTAACAGAGAAATTAGTTCAGATAAAAGATTTAAAAAAGGGATTTATTAAATACAGAGGCAAGCACAGGTTGATAAAAGTAAAAACGAATAAGTACACGTCCATGGTAAAAAGTACAGTAAGTAGCAGCATTTTGAAAAGACAAGTGAACATATAATGGTGTTGAGAGCTAGTCTATGGTTGAAAGTAGAGTAATATGTGTGTTTTGCACATAACAGTGATTATAGAATAACAGAATAACAATAATGCAGTTTAGGTTTAGGGGTGAATATAAAAAAATGTTCAAATCATCGATTGATTTACTGATTATTCTCAAGATATATCGATTATTGGTTTGTAAAATGTCCACCTCAGTTTCTCAAAGATGAAGGTGGTGTCTTTAAATGTCAGTTTATAATGATATGAAGCAGAGATAAGGAGGACATCTCTATGCTTGAGAGGCAGAAACACATTTCCTGACTTAATAGACTTCATAGTAGCTGCTGGTTATAAAATGATCATTGCCTTTGTTCTATTCAGGCGTCCCAGGAAGACCTTGCAGAGTGATAGTAAGCCAGCTGTCATGAAGCATCCTAAAACTGAAGCAGCCATCGTTCCTTAAATTATTAATAACTGTGCTTTTATGCTGTGACATTTCAGAATATCTTCTGTAAAAAATGGCCTGTGGATTCATTGATTTTTCTGTGATGGTAAACACAGTTTGATCCAATGTACAAATTCAAAAATCAGAACATATCGCTTATAACATTTTGATAAACAAACGTCAAGAGTGCACATTTAATCTTAATAAATGATTTTCTCAGACACACAGGTGGATGAAACTGTGCCTGCAGCGACTGAAGCTACATTCTTGCACAAGCATCCTTATAGGCCACTGCATAGCGTTGCTCGTTGTTGCCATGGCAACAAGGTCACCAATTCCATGGCAACAAGCAGCCTGTTCTCTCATCCCTTATGGGCAAAATATTTTCCCTTTTACGTTTCACAGGATTTAGGAATTAAAAAAAAATAGTGTTTCAGTCTACCGCATTTATTTTTCTTTTAACTTTTTTAATTAAGCAAAAATGCCTCAAAGTCAGGAACTACAAATATTGTTTTGAGGTCTTGTTTATGTCATTGTTTGTATTCAGTAAAGATTAGCGATTAATCAGCTTGTTTGTGACATTTAAAAAAATATATATGAATGTTGACGTATTTGTATTGCTTTTTTACTATGAGGTATTGCTTACTGTCTTTAAAACAAACGTATGTAATACTTTGATGCACACATTTTGAATTGTAATACATTTTTACCTTTCAAAATGATCTGGTGCAAATTAGGTCAAGAGGATAATGAGCAGCTTTGCCCTGCAGGGGGCTCCTGGCTGCTTATTGCAACAAAAACAGTTGGTTTACGTTTACCTCAGCTGCTGCTGGACTGAGATTGATGTGACAATACAAACATAGAGACATATTAGAGTTTTATAATATCGATTTGTTCATTTGTTTCACTTTCATGTGTCTATGATTAAAAGCATCCAGATGCAGTAATACATGTAAAAGGTTTAGTGGTATCAGCTCCTTGATGCAGGTTTATTTTCCTTTTTTTACAACCTCGTACATAAGATACCATATATATGTATCCTTATTTCAATAACCCATTGCTTACACTATTAAAACACATTGTTTTCACATGGCACCAGCACTGAGCCTGTACAGTGTGTCCTCCTCATATTTACATAAGAGCCTGTTTCCATCACCTGTGTTTCTCTAGTCTACTCAGCCTTTCTGTCAATGCAGACCATCATGAAAAAACAGACGTCAAAGAGAAAAGACAACCTTTCACCTGTAAGCAACGAGCAGGGGATTAAAGCAATGATCAGATGCATTTTTGAGCATTTACTTAATATAAATAAGCTTACCTCGACTTCAGGTTTGTGATCAGGCTTCATGCTTGTCTCCTGACTCGACGATCGCGTTTCTCTCGCTGTGAATGTCGAGCTTTCCCCAAAATATTCCACTTTGAACATTTTCCTGCCGGATCGATCGCCATCGTGCCTCCTGCGGATGAAGCTGACGCGAGGAGAGCAGGTGGTCCCTGACTTAAAGGAGCAGTGCGAGGTGCATTCATTTCACACATGCAGCATGTATCATATGGGATGCTAATTAATGCATAGGCTACTTTGTTATCTGTGTGATGTTAATGTATTTGAGTACACATTATAGTTTAACATCAAGTGTGTCTTTGAAAAGGTAGTCTCTTACCTAAAACAGCTAATAATAATAGTTGACATTGGATTTACAAAAGGATATTTAGATTATTGTTCTGGTCTTTTAGCCATGCACCAAGGGATGCAGTAAGAACAAAACAGGACACATTTAAAGAAATATGATTTAAAAATACCTTACTGTAATTAACACTAATTTCAGGACGTTTGAATTCCTTATCACATAACAATGAATTCCAGCATTATGCATGTCTTTATTAAACAGTCAGTCTGTATGTTGGGTTGTCAGTCGATCTTGGCATAAACAGACTCACATCCACTTCTTTAAAACATCCAAAGTTTAATTATAGTTTTCTTTTCTTGAACAGCTATAATTTATTATGTATAATTAATTGAACAGTTTCTTTGTGTTTTTGTATATGCCATATGAACAGTGTCCTCATGCAAAGTAAACATTCACAAACATGCGTTAATGATGTTTGTCCAGGAGATGGCAGCATTGTGTCTTACATGCATTTGGCCTTCAGTTGAGGCTTTTCTGCAACCCTTATGTGTTGGTATGTTTAGGTCTTTATAGTATCTCTTTTTCATTTACACTTTTCAAAGATGCACCACCTCTTCTTGAAACATCACATATCCATCATTAATTTTCCAGCAGCAGCCTAATAAATTATTGAATAAATGATACCGCTTTGTATTTTAAGGAGGTTTTTCAGACATCATTGATATAATGCTGGCTGAATCCAGATGTGCAGAGAAACATCGATACAAACAGAGTTGCTGAATGGAATTTATTGTAATTCATTTTGATTGATATAAGAAAACGGTTGTATTTTCAGTACTAGTCACACACGTACGGATACACACTCACACAATTAGCATGCAGGCGGAGATCTTTTTCATGGGCATGCTTGTCTAAATTGGCATCGTGCCCATGTGTTGAACATGCCCATCAAACCAGTTCCACTCCAGCGGTCTGGCACATGCATGCTCGTCACGTTCGGTGGCACCCACACAACAAGCTTGCTGGTGAGAGAATTCATTTCCCTCTCCATTATTCCACAGATGTTTGCTTTAATGTCTTCCTGATGGGGAGACTTTGGTACTCCATCATTCACCAAAAAAATCAAACAGTGAAAACCACTAAATCAGAATATTCAGAGGAGACTCCACACACACGTAATAATATTGACTTTGAGATGATTGAGTCTTGTGTGGACTAGTTTCCCTGTTACATGTAGACATTTTGATACATTCACACAGAAAATTACAAGAATCTAAAATAAATTATTTTGACTTTTATATAGGCATGCCGCTGCTTCTGACTCCATGAGCGTTAACTCACCCTGAGGAAGCCACAGTGTGTTAATCAGTGTTAGACTTTAGTGCTTAACCCATCTCAGCAATGTGGAAATAATTAACACCAACCAGTGAGGACTGATAATGTGCAACCCACAGTGAAATAGTTGTGCATTAACACCTGCTTTTCTTTAGTTTGTGCGTATGTAACACTGGCCCAAACTGTGAGTCACAAACAACATGCAGAAGGCGATTATCATGCCATAATTGCCTTATGTAAAGTACCTCTGAACAAGGCTTTAAGAGCAATTATGAGCAATCATATTAGCATGTTCTGTTGGGGGAGCTAATAACATTTTGACTGTTTCACTGATGAAAGAAACAATACTCCAGTGGTGATAATACCTCATGTAAGTACCACATTATGCTCAAGCACTTTCTACACGTTTCAGGGTGTTCATGTGAGCCTAGCCATTTCTTTTGATTGATGGTTTTGGGTTCAGGTTACTGTAACATCATCGGCTTTTACCTTCAGATCCCCACATTAATATTCAGAGGAGACACCTAAGCGTTGTGTGATGACAAACCCCCTTTAAAGGGCTTTTTATCCCTCAATTCCAGCCTTATCTGCCATCTTTACATCGCTAAGCTTTGAGGGGATCACACTGCAATCCTGCGAGCTTAGATTTCGCCTCCATTTTTATCAGAGAATTCAGAATTTTGAAGCTCAGGGGGAATACATCATGTTACGAGGAACCGGTAGATGATTACTGTGAGCTGTGGTGCCACCTTTCCACCCCTGTGTGATGTGTAGCTGAGAGCAGGCAGAATGGTTAATTTACATTAACGTTGTGTGTTTATGTGAAGACTGGGATAGGTTGTCATGACCGAGCGCTGTCCTGTGTGTTCTAGCTGTTTTACATTCAGTTACTTAATGCTGACAAGCTTTGAGCGTCATCATTTCGTGAAGAAGAAATGTGTCAGTAAAAGTGTTTTTAGTATTTTTTTCAACATCATCATCTGGTGAACATCTTATTTGGCAAACTTATCTGAAACCAAAGCAATTTTTAATCTTTATTATTTTACTTTTGTCTGCCCAATAATAAAACCGTTTTCTCAGGATTTTATTTCAAAACCTTCTTTTTTTTTTGTGTGTATCTATTGTATCTGCTTTTTTATGTGTCAGTCACACAAGCTGGTGAAGTTTCATTAGCATGTATTCTTTATTTTTAATTGTCTCCCCTAACTTACTACTAAGGGATTGAAAATTAACCAAGAGTTACTGCTAAAGACCAATTCAAGCCACCCATTCATGCAGGCAGGCTGCTATTTATACGAGTTTCCCCTTAAATCCTGCCAAATGTCAGCAAAGACACACACACACACACACACACACACACACACACACACACACACACACACACACACACACACACACACACACACACACACCTTAGAAACACGTTGATTTATCTCTCTTTCTAACACAGGTAGTGAGGAACATTCATAAAAAGAATGACATGGTTACCAGAAGTGTGAGTATCAGTCAACATTTTTTGTTTATGTCCATGTGGAAAAAATTCTAAATGTGACATTTGCAGTGAAACATTAACTTCCAGGTTTGTGTTATTTTCTGTGTGTTCTGTTTGGTTTGTTCGCAGCTACTGTAGCAGCCGACCTTTGACCTCCCTTTGGCCTTTTTTTCCACGACTCCCAAATGATCTTCCACATATCAATACGACATTAGATTTGCGGTATTAGCTCATTAGCTGACGTGTTTCTGTTTGTTTGTGTGCATCAGAGACAGAGAGAGTAAAACACAGATTGTTTCTCACAGCCAGCGTCCTGAGCTTCTTACTGCCTACATGTGTATCTGCCAAACCCATCATCTGTGGCAAAAGACCCGCCGCCTCGTGTCCCTCCATCTCGCTGTCACCTTGGCAACCGCTGCCGAGGTGAACCGCCAGCTGGGACGGCCGACCTCTGCTGGCTGCGATCCAGGAGCTCGGTCCACTGGATGTATGTTGCTGCAGCGTATATCACACCAAAGAGAGACGCATGTGAGGAGTTCAATCAGATTCAATAGTGTCAACACATAAGAGCTGGGAAAAGTACAGATTATGTTATATCTATGTGACTGTTTGCTTTATTTGAACCTGACCTGGTATATCGGGTCATTTTGTTCAGTCTGTTTTTGCTTATTTTTCACTTTTGCGACACTAGGTGTATTCCCTTTGTGGAAATTGAGTTTTGTTTTGTTTTATTTTAGGTAATTTATCTGTTTGTTGTTAGAGTTATTATCAATGTTTGAGACGCATGTGAGGAGTTCAATCAGATTCAGTGGTGTCAACACATAAAAGCTGTGAAATGTTGAAACAGATGATTTTATATTTATGAACGCAACTAGGAGGCCTAAAAGCTGGGAAATGTTGCAATAGATCACTTTGATTGATTTTATTTTGTGTTGTTTTATGGAAGAATGCTCACCCTCTAAAGTGTCTTTGAATATCTTGAAAAGCGCTCTATAATTAAATGTATTACTATTATGATTATTATTTGTGTGACTGCTTTATATGAACCTCCTAGGTATCTTGTTTCATTCTGTTTCGTCTGTTTTTTTCTGCAATTTGTATCTTTGCAACACTAAGTGCTTTCCTTTCCTAGAGTTATTTTCAAAGAGTATAACCACAGGTTTGAAAAACAGCTTTGTTCCAGCAGACATCGCATACATTTACAAGTTGTAGCTACCGGCTTTCTGACTGCTAAAGAATATGTTAATTATTTGTATTTCAACAGTCCAAAACTATAAATGTCCGTTTAGTATCATATATGGCAAAAACTAAACAAAAATGATCATTATTGTCCCATCAAAGAGGCTGGAAACAGCAAATCAATGTTTTTTAAAATTAAATTGAAGAATGATTGAACTATTCTGTGAGTTTATGATTTTAATTAACTGACTAGTCATTGCTCTCGATAAGAAACTATTAAGAGGAAAGCCAAGGCAGAACAACATTATTTTTCAGAGTTTTTAACATATACGCAGATATTACATTTTGTCACGAATAACTTTGCGGTTTGTTTGACCGAACCCACTGAAAAGCAGCAGAACACATGTTTGTGGGTGTTTGTGAGTCTAAGGTATCTCAACACAATTATTTCTTAAGTCAAATTTATTAAATACTTTGTCTATTCCATGAAAATAAACACAGTGGAAAAAAAATAAATAGACCAAATCATCACCAGAGAATACACAGCAGACTAACTTGTACATAAACTTAAGGGAATGTTTGCTATTTTGACAAAAAGGAGTTGAATGAAAAAACACAATACTGGTTTTACTTTAAGTTGCTCTTTGATCACTGACTGTGTCACAACACAACTCCACTGACACACAACACAAAAGTTAGAAACACATTTGAAGGAAGATAAATTATTGCTCATTAAAAAACACTTAATGCTGAATAAAGCGCATTAAACCAATGTCTTTCATATAAAAGAAACATAGGCAATAACCCTGTTTAGCCAGTGGGACATCAAACTCTGCAGCATTAAAGGGGAACTAGTATGTTGAACATTACCAAGATTTGGAAACATTTTTCCTTGAATCTCTTGGTATCAGATTGATAAAATGCCCGTAGGCTCTTTTGGTGAACACACATTGCGATTAATAAACTTTTTTCATTTTCTGTTCAGACTTTTTTTCATTTTCTGTCCCAAAGGCTGATTCATAGTGCAGGAATACCAAAGGATGCATACAAGTGTTCTGCTCTCAAATGAGTACAACTTGGAAACAACATTATTGAGGACCATAGAACATGGGGACATATAAGAAAATGTTATGAATTATGCTATCATTTAGGGAAACATGACATATTATCTAAAAAAAAGTTCTGATTTATTGTCCGGTAAGTTATTTTCACGTGTCGCTGTACATCCTCTTGCAGTCTATGGAGGGTGACGGTGTGTCCGGTCCCATGCTGCCCACCTGCGAGTACGCGTCCTCCGGGGTGCGAGGCAGTCCTGGCGGCGTCATGCGCTTCTCTTTCTGCCTGCGGTTGCAGAACCAGACCCTGACCACCTCCTTCTCCAGCTGCAGGGAGTCCGCCAGAGAGGTGATCTCCAGGGCGGCAGGCTTGGGACACTTGAGGAAGTGGCTCTCCAACGCGCCTTTTACGCTCACCTCGATCGACGTGCGCTTTTTCCTCTTCCTGCCCTGCGTGGCCATCTTATCGATGCAGGTCGGGCTCCCGGTGGTGGAGTCGGCCTCTTCCAGCCACTTGTTCAGCAGAGGCTTCAGCTTGCACATGTTCTTAAAGCTCAGCTGGAGCGCCTCAAACCTGCAGATGGTAGTCTGTGAGAACACGTTGCCGTACAGGGTGCCCAAAGCGAGACCCACGTCTGCCTGCGTGAAGCCCAGCTTGATCCGCCGCTGCTTGAACAGTTTGGCGAAAAGCTCCAAGTCATCAGACGTCGGCGTGTCCTCGTCTGAGTGCTGCTCGTGGTTCACGCCGTGGTGCTGGCTGTGGTGCGTGTGGTGGTTGTTATTGTTGTGGTGGTGATGGTGGTGATGGTGGTTCCCGTGGTCGAGTTCCGGGGACTCCCCGCGCAACACCCCGTGGTGCATGAGGCTCTGCCCGGCGTGGGAGCTAAGCATCCCGTTGACAGTGAACCCAGGCTGGGAGTAAATGAGCGACTGTTGCTGCTGCTGCCCCTCGGTGATGCTGATGTGCGCCGCGGAAGAGCCTCCCCAACTTCCCTGGTGCGCCTGATGCGTCCCCAGGTGTGGGGGTCTGTGGTGCAGAGCGGTGCCTGTATGGAGGTCCTCCCTGCCCCTCTTCACGTCCTGCGGCTGGGAGCTGGGGGGCCACGGGGAGCCGGCCTCGGCTGCTGCCACCGCGGCTGCAGCTGCTGCGGCTGCTGCGTGAGGCAACGATGTCACCCACTGGTGGGCATGGCTCAGCATGTGCCCCCCGTTGCTCGCCACCATGGCTCCCTGCATGAAATCACTCTGCACCATCTTGACTGAAGGGTCCCCTCTGTATCCACTAGACACCGTGGTCACAGCGGTGCTGCCCGGCTGCATGCCCCCGACTCTCCGATCAGAGTGAAGCACCGGGCTGGACAAAATCCTGCTGCTGGCGAGGTAAGGACTGGAGGTGGCTGTTGCCATCCCCCAATGCATAAATCTTCAGATATATCTCTCTCTCCTTTGGTAAATGTTATTCTAATCCATACATAAATGCAGTCTTAAAGAAAGCAGGAAGTCACTCCATAGGGGCTCAGGTGATTTTGGTTAGATTGTGCAGCATTCCGGTTCAACAAAACTTCAAAACTTTTCTCTGTCCCGGGAGCTCCTCCGTGCGTAATCCACGGAGCTGATGGGAAAAACCTTCTCCTGTTCCAAAACGAGGAGCAGATTCACCTAAAAACACTGATATTAATGTTTTAAAGCGATTAAATGAATAAAAAATAATGTAAAGTCTGTCTGGTCCTCTGGGTAGTTTCGCTCACTGCTCTACCAGTCCTCTGCGCAGAGAAGAAAACGAGCATGTGTTTACGTTGTGCCAAGGCTGCGTATTCCTCTCCCATCTCCATCCAATTACAACAGAAAGCCTCTGCAGAGCTCCTGCTGATTGGACGCGCAGTCAGAGAGGAGCTGTGTCTCAGTCCAGCCTCGGGTGCACAAAGTTACAGCTGCAGGAATAAAAGCAAAAATAAAGACAAATATTACAATAGAAATAAGACAGACGATAATAGCTGGAGATAGAAATCCTGCAACAACAACAAAAACAACACTAATTTAAACATATACAAAATAATAATGATGATATTATAATGAATAATATAGGTAATGGTTAGGTTTGGTTATTATTATGATTATTTTGATTATTTTAATTATTTTGATTATTATTATTATTATTATTATTGTTATTTTAACACATATTGTGACGCTATACAGAAAGCAGTGCAGTATATTTCAATATGTATACAGAACAAGGTTTCTCTTTTATATTAACGCAGTGACCGAGGCTGGTGTCAAGGATCCTTGGCTCTTTGGTACATGTACGCTGTTGGTACGCCTCTTGCATCTTAATGCACTCTCCCTTTCATATGGTAAAGGAAGGCCACAGTGGCGTAACGCACCGCACTAGTTTCCAGCCTTCAAAAAACAACACCCCAGTTCTGGATGTTTCCATGGGTCAGTTTCTGGATGGCCTGTTAAACAAACGTGTCGTGGCAAATTTTCTACCACGGATTTGGCTCAGTTTCACGGGCCTTGAGAGGGTGAAGCACCGTCTGAGAAGCAGGACGTTTTGTGAGGAGAGAGCCAGGTGCAGCAAAATAAATGTGCTAATTTATGTTTTTCAGCTCTCAGGATTTGTCTTGGATCTCATCCAAAAGGTAAAAGATAAATGGACACAAAAATTCAGCCTGCAACATAAACTGAGACTTTTACCATGACATTTGAATTTTGTATCCACAATTATATATATATATACCGTTTTTCATGTTCAAACTATGTTTGAACACAAATGTGTTGCAATATACACTGGTGGATGAAGGACTCTGAGCTTTTAGATAAGTATGTTATGTTAGTCCTGCAACTAACTTGAAAAAAGTACGTGCATATATAAAGAATTTACCAAAAGTTAAACTATACTGAATATTCAGAATATAAACTTTATATTTTATATTTCTGCATTATAATTATTAATACAACTTCACTTTAATGCCACTAGTGGTAAAGAAGGACTTAATTCTAGATAGTTTAATCTGTTATCATATATATCTTAATTTATTTGTCGATTTATAGTTATTATTAAATATTATCACTTGCAAGTTAGTAGTCACTAAAGATATTAGATAGATGTTTTGGAGTAAAAAGTAATATATTTACCTAGAATAGATGTTTATAAAAAGTACTTCAAATTGAACTTGAATATAGTACTGGATTAACTGTACTTAGTTACATTGCACAACAAACACATGCATTATGATTTATCAGCACAGGCAGAAATGTGTATGTCATATCCTGTTGTTGTTATTATTATTAGGCTTTTTTTAAGTACTTCAAGTTCACAATACTCAGTGAGTAATGCTGAGGGGGGCCTGGGGTTTATCGCAGAGTAAGCACAACGACACTCATAAAACGAACTCAACTAAAGACATCACTGACTGATTGACACAACACATTGCGCAATAAGACACTCTGCATTTACAGTCTGCTTTATTTAAATTCTGCAATACATCTGCGTTGCCCTTTAACCTTTGTAATGGCACAAGAATGAATATAAAGAAAATCCAACGCACTCTTTTCAAATACCACTTGAAAAATGTAAACTTCTTTCTTTTTAACACACAAGTAGTCTTCCAGATGCTCTGCAGCGTTTCTTCAGATGTTTCGTGGTTAAACTGTGATCTACCCGGTAAATTAAAAACACACATAATGTTTTCATGCACCACATAAAACACACTTTCTTATACTTTCTAAATTCCCCAAATGTTTAGTTTAGGTTTGCGTTTCATCAAAGACCTTTTTTTCACAATTTCAACTTCTTTTACAACACCTTCTGGAATTACAACGTCTTTGTAGTTTAAACAAAACCATAATGAAGTGAATAGTGATTAAGTAAATGATAAAGATGACATTCAAAGATCAATATATGACAGATGTGAAAAGTGCATGATCATTTAGTTTATCCAGGAATCATGTTTCATATCGGAACAGAGATAATAGATCACCAGATAAGGCAACGTTTTTTATCAAAGTTAAGATTTCAATAATTGAGCCCATTCATGATAACCAGACAATGAATGGTGTTATTGTCAATATTGCAAAGTATGAGGTTTTAATAATGGCTTGCACTTGTCAGTAATTCATCTGTAAATCATTTGTAAAAGAATACGACGGCCATTTCTTAAAATAACAATACAAAATAAATGTATATTAACAACCTCTAGCCGAGTATTGGGATAGCCCTCTATTAATAACGTATGACCTTAAAGAAACAAGTGTCTGAAAAGTTTTGTATGGCTTTCTATAAATCATAGCAGATGTATAAGTATTAATAGAGAAGTTTACAACTTTAAAAAATGAGCAATTATTTATTCCACAGTCTATAAAACCTGTTTATCGTTGAGCCGTGTTCAGTAAAATCAGAGAAGCTGCTCTGAAGCACCGCAGAGTTTCACATCTTTCCAGCCTGGCAGCACAATGTGGAGAAACCAGACGACTGAGGGAATGCTCTAATGTTTTTCATGTGTTGTGCTGGCTGGTCGCAGCGCTGGGTCTCTATTTGTTATTCATGAAGGAAGCTGGGTGAAGAGGCCTTCTTATGATGCACATTTTTCTCTCTGCTCACTCACTCTCTCTCACACACACACACAGAGGGAGACTACTTCACAACCAAGCAAATAGTTTTAGTTGTAGCGAATACTGCAATTAATCCAGCATAATAAACACGACACTGTCGGCTAATTTATGTTATTGTTTATTTTAGATCTTCTTCAAATCATTTACTCAAAGACTTTCTCTCCCTTCCTCTCGTTCTCTCTCTCTCCCGCTCTTCGCCCTCTGTTGAGTCTTCAATATGCAGATCGGCCATTTCTGCCCTGGGCTATTTTCTTTGGTAGACTTTTGAAATATGCTAATGCATCCACCAAAATTGCGAAAGAGAAAAAAAAAAAAAACCTTCATCTGGGCTCCAGGAGTTTTCCATTCCAAAGAAACAGATTATTTTTCTCTTGTTCTCGTCCTGTTTGCTTTGCCGGTCAAGGGTCTGACTAATTAAGAAGGGAGAATAAACACAAACAGGAAGAGAAAACACAAAATTAACTTCTGAGAAAGACAGATTTGTTGTTCATATTTCCATATTATTACATTTATTAATATTCATTGCAGAGAATATAACAACATTTCATTCTTTATGGCTTAAAATTGGTATCTCGTGATTAAAACACAACAATCGTACTTTCTTTTCATTTGATTTCTTGTTTTATGTGTGTTGAACAAGTCCAAACACAAGAACAGGATTTCTCTCCTTGGCTTTCATCCCAGCATTTTTTTTATAATCCACGTCTTCAGATTCATCCTGTGGTTCTGATCATGAGTGTGTTTGACCTTCAGCTCTCCCTGAGTCAGAGAGATCCTTCACAGTGGGAGTCTCTACCCACAACCCCCTGCTGAGCGCTCAAATCGGAAGCAGAGGAAACATGAAGAGCACAGTGTACAGATAGAGAGCAAACACAGGGTACGCATGGGGAAATGATCAAAGTACATTTACTTCCAAAACCCCTCATTCACACGCAGAAATATGAGACAAACATGACCAATTATATTTAAATGTACTGGCCTGAATGCGCTGTGACGTTTGCTCTTCGGTAAATCATTTTCTATTTCTTAACTTCCACGGAGTGTGATGGGTTTGCTCAAACAGAGGGCGGGTTAAAGGAAAGAAGGAGCTGTTTACTACCAATAGTCAATTACCAACCCCAATGATGATGACACCCAATGGACAGATGCAGCAGCTAAACACTGTTGTGGTTTAGCCCATTATGAGTGAATAGGGGGAATTAATTTGTGGAAATTACATTCATTAATCCCAATGGATCATTTGAAAGGGGCCAAAGTGACAAGGAACAGCAGAGAGGGAGACCACATTTAGGAAATGGTACAAAGACATCACTCATCTCTCTTTGTGTGTGTGTGTGTGTGTGTGTGTGTGTGTGTGTGTGTGTGTGTGTGTGTGTGTGTGTGTGTGTGTGTGTGTGTGTGTGTGTGTGTGTGTGTGTGGTTATTGTCTATCCAGAGAGGTGGATCAGTTCATGAAATTAGGGTTAGGTATAATGTGTTTGATCAACTTTTTATATTTTGTTTCAGCTTATCTAATTATTGTGGCATAAAGAACATGTTTTAAGTGTTTATTTGATGAAGAACAAGGATAAAAAACTGTTAATCCAGTGACACATATCTGTTAAATATGGCTTTAAAGTTGGAAGGTATATCCCACTTGCAGAATCCCTGCCATCCCAACTGTACATACTGGATGATCATTGTTATTTTTGACCATTTAAACCACCCTGTAATATATTGATAAAGGAGAATATAGCCCAAGCGGTACAAAAAAGACTTGATTTACAGTTTCTTTTTTCTTTTGTTGAGTTTGTTTGGGTCACATGTCTTGGAGGACTTTAAGGGTTACAGGTGATTTTCTTAGCCGAGCATTAGTCTGGAGTTTGCACGAGCTGAACACAGCTTTGGATTCAGTTGCCCAATAACATCTGATACAATTGACCAGATATTTAAGAATAAGGCTGCTATATTTCTTCTTTTTCTTTGTCCCTGAAGACATAAAACGTATATAACTTTCATTTTATAAAACGGTGCTGTAAGGTCCTCAAATAGTTTGGAACGGTAGCTTTAGAGAGAAAGTATTTAAACCTTAATGTTTTAAGCCACGATAAACACACATTAGGTGGGCAATTGGGATTATCAACATTATTGTTTATTCATATATATTTTTCATGCATCCTGCTGAGTGTTAAATCCAATATTCTCTTTCTTTTTTGCTCTGTTTTCGTTTACTTCTCCTGAAGCGAATATCTTGTGGATTAAGTCAGTTTTGTAGCGCTTTTGTTTTGTTGCCAGTTGCTGCTGAAAATATTGCTAAAAAGTGAAGTTGAGGAAAGCAAACCTAAACAATAAGCTAAAAGATGCCACAGTATGAAGCGCTTTAGAGCCGAGGGGACATATTTCTACGGAGTTGTCGTTATAACTGCCCCTCACATATAAGTTAGTTATCAGGTCCTTTGTTCATATAAAATGTTAATCGTAGAAGATTTAAAACAAATAAACTTCCACTCTAATGTCTCGACATGCATCTCATGGAGGTAATCGTGGGCAGAAAACTGTTCAGAGTCCAGTCTGCATGTGTACCTCAGGAATAATTTAAAGTTGTGACATGTGTTTAACAGATGCTCCGGCACACAAAGAGTCCTTTGCCTTCAGCATGGTGCACAGACAGAGTGAAATGTGCTGAGTCTGGCAGTCGAGGTGTCTGCATTTACACTCGGACTCCACAATGACGCCGATCATTTTGCGGCTTCAAAAGTGATTAGACTGCAACTAAAGAATGTTCTCACAATGGATCGTTATTGTCAGGGGGGATATGACTGATTGATTGATCTGCTGCCCTCTTCGAGAACACGGCTGTAACGCAGCGGCAGGAACAGGAAGTCATCAGTCAGCCAATCTGTGTCATGAATCATTCAACCTTTGACTTCCTTGCTTTGTTGAGTCAGCCTCGAGACACAATGTGCAGAATTAGTAATGACACCTTGAGATTTTATTTTTATTTTGAAGGTGTGATTTCCAGTGTTACGGCAATAGGACCACCCAAGGCTCACTTAAAACCATCATACTAAATGTGTGGATTGAATTCTCCCTTTGCCTCAGTGCATTAGCAGAGGAAATAATGACAGATGATTGAAGAGCGGGGAAATCATCTTTTTTTTTGTGTGCTGATAGCAGAACCGTCTTTCTCAGTAACTCAGCACACACTTTAGGTCATTTCCATTAACTCAGCTGAGACTTTGGTAGATAATGTTAACGTGCTGAATGGCATACATATTCAAACTCTGACGTGTGATCCCCTTTTCCTTTGAGAAAGACGAAGAAATATTAAGTTAAGCTAAGAAAATATTAGCCAGCCAGCCAGCATGCGGGAAGTAATGTCGGAAAATGTGCTGATTTTTCTACACGGGGGACTTACTTCATTATATGTGCAAGCAAATTTATATTCACAGTTCAAGCCTATGTTAACATTATAGATTTCAAGAGCAAAGCCAATTACAAGCATCACTCTATAACCAGGCACCATGTGTGTATGAGAAGGGTTTGTGGTGGAAAGATGGGGCTTTTTAGGGTTGGAGTTACAGCTGAAACTGTGTATTGAGAGGCTGATCACGAGTGAATGGAGCTGTGAGACTCGCAGTACTTCTGATTTCTCTCTTTTTCAAGTCCGGAGAATTCGTCTCTTATTCCATAAGGTGAAGTCGAACAGTTCCATGTGGTTTGTGAGCGAATTAATCATGATGATTAATTGGCTTTCAAGTTAAATATCCAGTGAGCGATGTCAGTCTGCCAGGCATCAGGGCTAAATTGACAGGCCTTTAAGGAGAAGCAGATTGATTTACACAGCAGCTAATGAATCCCCCTCCACCCAGAAGGGGAGGAAAGGTAAACAAGTCCTTTCTTTTCCTTCCTCCCATCTGCCTAGTTCAAGTATACACTTTGCTCAGTATTGAACTCTAACCTGAGACACAGAGACTCTTTTTTCCATTTATATTGGTTTTACAATAAAAGGACAGCTAGAACAGATTGGATTGTATCCCTTAAAGTTGCACTGTGCTTGTTCTTTGAAGGGACCTATTATGCTTTTTAGGGGTTTCCCTTCCCTGTAGTGTGTTATATAGGTTTTTGAGCATGCACATGGTCTGCAAAGGCTCCTGTTCCCTACAGAGGGAGTTTCTCTCCCACACAGCCCCCCCACTGCCTGGAATGCCTCCATTGGAATCCTTAGTTTGTTTACTTCCATTACATAGTGACATCACTATAACACTTGCGCTTTTATTGGCTAACCCTCCAATACATTGTACAAATAGGCTAAAGGGTGGGACAAATGAAGCTTAGCGCAAGTTAAATCAGGAAGACCAATATCCTCTGTCTGTTACACGTCATTTCAATACTCTCTCCTCTCTCAATAAGTGATCGGGGGCGTCACTCCCCAGCTAACCAATAACTTCCCCCCATTTTCACAAGCCTATCATTGCACTCGCTAACCCCTTTAAATCTGCTCTTCCCTCTCCGTCAGCTGTCATTTCAGGTGACAATGCGCAACCCTCCTCCACCCCTTCGCCTCCTGTCTCCTAATACAGGGCCAAGCTAAAACCTTCTCCCTTCAGACCGGACTGAACTACTTATCACCACCACCAGTGTCTAGACCCCGGGGGGTTTCATCGGAGCGTTTTTTCCCCCTCCTGAATGATTATCCTGCAAACTGGGGCCTAATCGC